ATGCACCTCCCGCTCTCTCTCCCCTATCCTCCCTCTATATCTCTCTATGTAATGTAATACAGTACAGGCTGTTGCTGTTGCTGTTGCTGGTGGCGGACCGGCGCACCTTCTCGATCCCTCTCGCGTGGACGGCGCCACGACTCTGTGCCAGGGGGGCGCGTGACGCCCTGTCCACCTCCCTCCCGCCACGCACGGCGTTGCGTGTGTCAACAAAGCCATCAAACAAAACGAAACAAAAAAAAACGACAAAAAAAACCATCCTTACAAAGAAACACGTGAAACAAATACGACGGTGAAAGACCCCACCAACAGCCAGAGACTCACCCACCCACGAGAGTACCACAGCGGCTGCAGCGTCTCCCTGCCTCGCGCGGCGGTAGCCGTCTCGTCGGGGTGAGAGGCAAAAGCCAGCGAGGGCTCCAAGCAACAAACCCGCTTAAGACGCGAGCAAAAGGCCTTCTCCCGCAGGCAGGAGGCCCAACTCGACATCCCCTGCCAGTGCCGGCTGACGCACGGAGACAAGTTGCTTCGAGGCAAGGGCAAGCACGCTGACAAAGGCGCGGGCGGCCTCACGGCGACGCATGCCGCGGCAAACGCTTTGCAACAGGCAAAACTCGCGAGTGGCGAGCTCCTTCCGTGCCCGCTTTGACGGCCGTTCATATTGCACCGGAAGCACAAGCTCGTCACGGACGCGCTTGAGTGTCGCCATGGCGGCCATCGAGAGGCCTCCAGTGACGCTGGTGGTGTCATTCACATTTTTATCATCGCGTCCGCGCTTGCGTGCCTGCATCGCCTCTTCCTCGTTCAACGCCGCAGCGAACACGCCCTCCTCCTCCATTCCGCCTGCCGGGACGTTTTCATCGTACTGTTGCTGCTGCTGGAATTGTTGGTGCAGTGGTGGCACGGCGGCGGCCTCAGCCTGCGCCACAAACGGGCGCAGCAGCGTCGTGTACATCGCGCGGAGCGACGGGTTCGGCTGCCAGGAGAGCGGTGCTGCGTCTACCAGCGCCCACACCTCGTGTTTGCTCGACTCTGGCGTGAGTGTAGCGCGGTCACGCGCCTCCTGCGCGTCGTACGGCCCACGCCTGGGCACCGTGTCAACGATGTCGCTGCGGTCATCCATCCACCGCTGCACCGTCTCGCCCGATACGGTGGTGGCGGCGAGGTCAAGCACGTTCACAGAGCGCGTCTTGCGTGCCGTCGCGTGTAGCGGCGCCTGCGGCTCCTCCTGTTGCGGTTGTGCCATGTCCGGAAGCGCGAGGGGATCCTCGCCCCCCTGCGGCGGCATCATGAAGTCTGGAAACAGTGCATGATCCTCCGGCAGCGGTACGCCTATGTCCATCTCCTCCCCCGGGGCGGGAAAGCCGGCAAACTCACCGCCGAGTCCGGTCGCGGCTGTCATTCCCATCACGCCGCTGCTACGCGCCTTCTCAATGCTAGGGTTGCTTGACTTTTTGCTGCTGCTGCTGCCGCTCACGCGGTCCCCGAAGGCGGCCAGATCAGCCCGCAGCTTGGCAATCTCATCGTAGTCCTGCTGGGTGCTGTGAAGCTCCTCCATCGTCTGCGAGGCGGGCTCCACAGCGTACCACGCAGAGGCCAGCAGCGCGGATGCATCATTGTTGCGACTCCCGCTGTTGCTGATGCCGGGCGTGCTACGTGGCTGCTTTGTGCCATACAGCAGGTCAGCAATGTCGTCAAACCGAGCCTCAAGAGCCTCGGCGTCAGTCTTCCCTGTCGCCACAGCCCCCGACGCGGCGCCGCCGCTCCAGTCAAATGTCACCGCCTCAATGTCGCCATTGCCGCTGATCAGCACGCCATCGAGCATTGCCATGGCCCCGGCCCCTTCGGACTCCTGCTTGTTATTTTTGCTGAGACCGGAGGGCGCAACACCGGCCTTTGCCGGAAGTGGCGCGACGCGGAGGATGAGGGTGGCGTCCGTGGCGTCCTTCAGCAGGTGCTTCACCTTCAGCGCGTAAATGCGCACCACCCCAACGAGAAGCTCACCGCTGGTACGCAAGGCGATGGGTACCGCCGGCTGCACAATATCGACCACCGACTGGCGCAGGTCCACCACACGCACCTCGTTGCGCGTCAAGCGACGGTCCCAGTGCGCGGCAAGCCAAATCTTCGCGAGCGGCCCCCGCTTTGTCAATACATACGTGGAGAAGAACATGACGGGTTAATTTGTCCGTCAATCAAACGCACTCACGCTTTACCGACTTTTTCCCTCCGCGTCCTCCTTCGTTTATGTGGTGGGATACGCGTTAGATGTGTGTACGTGTATCTATTTATAACAGGACCTCTCTCTCTCTCTATGGCTAGTTAACAGTTCTCTGCAGCCTTCAATGTTTGTATTCGCTATTATGAACTAACTCCCTTTGCTCTCCGTTACGTGAAAGAGCGTGCTTGTTAATCACCTTCTTCATGGCAACAGTGGCAATGGACCAGGACGATAGAAGCATGGAGGAGGAGGCAGAGGGAATTGTCTGTGCGTGTGATGAAGCATGCGAGGGGAGGGAGGGGAGGGAGGAGAGGGTGCAAGGGTCTGTGTCCCAGAGAAATAAAGAGGAAATGAACAGTAGAGATATACATGCACGCCGCCAAGTAAAACGTCATCTCCCATCGCACTCTGTCTTTTTTTTTTCCTTCTTTCTGCCCCTTTTTATTTTTGGCCGCCCTCTCCCTCCCCACTGTTACGCCCGCCCCTACCCGCGGTAGGGGAAGGGAAGGAGCGGAGTGGGTGGGTCGATCCAAACAAAAAAAAAACAAAAACAACGGGCAGAGGCGGTAACAAAAAGCATGCCCGCAAGCGTATGCGTCAGTCGTCATTGCAGCACACACGCACACACACACCAACAGGCCGAGAGAGTGAGAGAGATCTTTACATCTGCACGGGGGAAGGGGGAACGGCGTAGAGAGGAAAGAAAAAGGGAATGAAACAATAAAAATAGGCACAGTGCCGCAGTCTAAACAGGCATGCTAGGCAAATAAAGGCCCACGTGCAAATACGCGACGGAGAAAACGCGGAAGGCGGTGAAGGAGAAATGGCGGAGTGGTGCGACGGCTCGCCACGCGGGTATTTTCTCACGCATGTCTGCGTGCCCCCTGCCCCAACTCCCTCGCAGCTACCACGGACATTCACACATACAGGCTGCAGTGGGAGAGAGAGAGCGGAGAAGGGTGAAGTGGGGTTCACAACCCAATCACGCGTCAACGGCGCCCTACAACCTTCAGTTGAAACTTCACATATCATATCCCCCCCCCACTCCCCGCTTGTTGTTGTTTTTTTTTCTGAATGGCCGCGCCTGCCATACCTCAGACTCCGCCGTCACCTCCACCTCCTCCACCGCTCTCGCGTTGCGTTCCTCCTACAACACCCGTGCTTTTTTTTCTTTTTTCAAAAAGAAAATAATAATAATAATAAATTATCATCTTCCTTCTTCTTCCCCTTCACATAGTGGCCTTCTTAGTTCCTACGCCCTCCTTCCGCCGTCACCCGCGCGTTCACTCCGCCCCACCGGCGTCGTTGTCGTCGTCGTCTTCCTCGTCATCACCTGCCTCCGCGAGACGCAACGCCGTGCGGGCATCGTAGAGCGGCTGAAGTTCTGGCCGGGGCTCCGGCGCTGGCGGCAGCGGCGTCGGCGGCCGCTGCTTCGGGACAGTGGCGAGCGGCAGTTCACTCGCTCTGCGGCGCTGCAGCACGACGGTGGCGGCGATGACAGTGAGAGCCTCATTGGACACCTGCGCGACAGACCCCAACGGGACGGCGATGTAGCTACAGCCCTCTGCCGCCTGTGTTGTCTCCGGAGCCTCTGCCTCTGCCGCTGCCGCCTGTGTTGTCTCCGGAGCCTCTGCCTCTGCCTCCGCCGCCTGTGTTGTCTCCGGAGCCTCTGCCGCTGCCGCTGCCGCCTGTGTTGTCTCCGGAGCCTCTGCC